AGCAGCAGCAGTAGCAGCAGCAGCAGCAGCAGCAGTAGTAGCAGCAGCAAATAGCAGCAGTAGCAGCAAGCAGCCAGTAGCAGCAGCAGCAGCAGCAGCAGCAGCAGCAGTAGTAGCAGCTAGCAGTAGTAGCAGCAAGCAGCAGCAGTAGCAGCAAAACAGCCAGCAGCAGGCAAGCAGTAGCAGCAGCAGCAGCAGCAGCAGCAGTAGATGCAGCAGCAGCAGTAGCAGCAGAGCAAACAGCAGCAGCAGCAGTGCAGCAGTGCAGCACAGCAGCAGCAGTAGCAGCAGTAGCAGCAGCAGCGCAGTAGGCAGCAGTAGGCAGCAGCAGTTTGCAGCAGCAGCAGCAGTTTGCGAGCAGCATAGCAGCAAATAGCAGCAGCAGCAGCAGTAGCAGCAGCAGTAGCAGCAGCAGTAGCAGCAGCAGAGCAGCAGCAGCAGCAGCAGCAGTAGCAGCCCGCAGTAGTAGCAGCAGCAGTAGTAGCAGCAGTAGCAGCAGCAGCAGTAGCAGCAGCAGTAGCTAGCAGCTAGGCAGACAGCAGCAGCAGTAGCAGCAGAGCAGCAGCTAGCAGCAGCAGTAGCAGCCAGCAGTCAGTAGCAGCAGCAGTAGTAGCAGCAGTAGCGAGCAGCAGCAGCAGCAGTAGCAGCAGTAGCAGCAGCAGCAGCAGTAGCAGCAGCAGTAGCAGCAGCAGCAGTCAGCAGCAGTAGCAGCAAACAGCAGCAGCAGCAGTAGCAGCAGCAGCAGTAAGCAGCAGCAGTAGCGCAGCAGTCAAGTAGTAGCAGACAGACAGCAGCAGTAGCAGCAGCAGCAGCAGCAAGTAGCAGCAGCAGCAGTAGCAGCAGCAGCCAGCATGCAGCAGCAGCCAGAGTAGCAGCAGCAGTAGCAGCAGCACCAGATAGCTGCAGCAGTAGAGCAGCAGCTAGCAGCGCAGCAGTAGCAGCAGCAGCAGCAGCAGTAGCAGCAGCACAGCAGCAGCTAGCAGCAGCTAGCAGCAGCAGTAGCAGCAGCAGAGCAGCAGCAGTAGCAGCAGCACCAGCATAGTCAGCAGCAGTACAGCAGCAGCTAGCAGCAGCAGCAGTAGCAGCAGCAGCAGCAGCAGTAGCAGCAGCAGCATAGCAGCAGCAGTAGCAGCAGCAAGCAGTAGCAGCAGCAGCAGCAGCAGCAGTCAGTAGCAGCAGCAGCAGCAGCAGTAGTAGCAGCCAGGTACAGCAGTAGCAGCAGCAGTAGCTGCAGCAGCAAGCAGCGCAGCAGCAGCAGTAGCAGCAGCAGAGCACCAGCATGTAGCAGCAGCAACAGCAGCAGTAGCAGCAGCAGCAGTAAGCAGCAGCAGCAGCTAGTAGCAGCAGCAGTAGCAGAGCAGCACTGCAGTAGTAGCGCAGCAAGCAGCAGTAGCACGCAGCCAGCTAGTAGCAGCAGCAGCAGCAGTAGATCAGCGCAGCAGCAGTAGTGCAGCAGCAGTGCAGCAGCAGCAGCGCAGCAGTCCAGCAGCAGCAGTAGCACTGCAGCAGCAGCAGTAGCAGCAGCAGCATCAGCACAGCACAGAGCATCAGTTAGCAGCACGCAGCTAGCAGCCAGCAAACAGTAGCAGCAGCAGCAGCAGAGCAGTAGCAGCAGCAGCAGCAGCACAGCAGTAGCAGCAGCAGTAGCAGCAGCAGAGAGCAGCAGCAGCAGTAGCAGTAGCAGCAGCAGCAGCAGCAGTAGCAGCAGCGCAGCAGCAGTCACAGCAGTACAGCAGCAGCAGTAGCAGCAGCAGCAGTAGCAGAGAGCAGCAGCAGCAGCAGCAGAGTAGCAGCAGCAGTAGCAGCAGCAGCAGCAGCAGTCAGTAGCAGCAGCAGCAGCAGCAGTAGAGCAGCAGCAGTAGCAGCAGAGCAGCAGCACCAGCAGTAACAGACAGCAGAGCATGCAGCAGCAGCAGTAGAGTCAGCAGCAGCAGCACACAGTGTAGCAGCCAGCAGCAGCAGCCATCAGCCAGCGTACCAGCAGCAGCAGCAAACAGCTCAGCAGCAGTAGCAGCAGCAGCAGCAGTGCAGCAGCAGCAGAGCAGCAGCTTGCTAGCACAGCAGCAGTCAGCAGCAGCAGCAAGCAGCAGCAGCCAGCAGTACGCATAGTCGCCCAGCCGCACAGCAGTTGCAGCAGCACCAGCAGCAGCACCAGCAGTAACAGCAGCAGCAGTAGCAGCAGCAGCAGTAGTAGTAGTAGAGCCAGCAGCAGCAGCAGCAGTAGTAGCAGCAGCAGCAGCACAGCAGCAGCAGCAGTAGCAGCAGCAGCAGCAGTCAGCAGCAGTGCAGCAGCACCAGTAGCAGCACCAGCAGCAGCAGTAGCAGCAGCTAGCAGCAGCACCAGGTAGCAGTGCAGCAGCAGTACAGTAAGCAGCAGCCCGCTAGCAGCACACAGCAGTAGCAGCAGAAGCCAGTAACAGCAAGCGCAATGCAGCAGCAGCAGTTAGTAGCAGTAGCAGCTGTAGCAGCAGCAGTAGTAGTAGCAGCAGCAGCAGCAGCAGCAGCAGCAGCAGCAGCAGCAGCAGCAGCAGCACCAGCACCAGCACCAGCACCAGCAGCAGCAGTAGCACCAGCAGCAGCATCAGCAGCAGCAGCAGCAGCAGCAGCACCACCACCACCACCACCACCAGCACCAGCACCAGCAGCAGCAGTAGCAGCAGCAGTAGCAGCTGTCTGATGGACGACTCAGCCAGCCACACCACCCGCCACACACGACCCTCTCACCTACCTTGACCCACATTTACTAGATGCCGGCCTCGCACACCCTGTCATACATGTTCTTAAAACTGTGTATGGAGTCTGCCTTCCCACATCCTCGTCTACCATGCTTAATTTATGTGCTTCTCTGTTGATAAATCATTTCGTACTGTCTTGTGCATTATCCAATTCTTTAGTTTCCACCTGTGTCCCCTTGTTCTTGGACCTTCATTCATCTCCTTCTTCTCCCTCTTCTCCTTCTTCTCCTTCTTCTCCTTCTTCTCCTTCTTCTCCTTCTTCTCTTCTTCTCCTCCTCACAGCCTCTCCAACACATCAAAGTGTCCCCGACGTTTCATACACTGAGGATGAACTCCAGTAGCCACTTGTCTTACCACTTTAAGACCGCTAAGACAAGTGGTAAAGTAGCGACGTCTCATGTTTTAATTGTAGTTGTTTGTAAAGTAAAAGGACACATGTGCAACTAATGTGACATTTTATTGTGGCAACGTTTCGCTCTCCAAGTCTACCCTCTAGGTATACCCTCCACGTATACCCTCCAGGTACACTCCAGGCACACCCTCCAAGTATACCCTCCAGGTATACCTGGAGGGTATACTTGGAGGGTGGCGAAACGTTGCCACAATAAAATGTCACATTAGTTTCACTTGTGTCCGTTTACTTTACATATTGTCGGTAATTCTACCAACTTTATTAGTGTAATTATTTCCGAGACTGCGACTCACAACAGTCGAGTAACACCCGATACTCTTACTACTGTATTTTCACTACTAGGTGGACAGAGGCAGCAGGTGTGTATTGTATTTCACTTCCAGGTGGACAGAGGCAGCAGGTGTGTATTGTATTTCACTTCTAGGTGAGCAGAGGCAGCAGGTGTGTATTGTATTTCACTTCTAGGTGAGCAGAGGCAGCAGGTGTGTATTGTATTTCACTTCTAGGTGGACAGAGGCAGCAGGTGTGTATTGTATTTCACTTCTAGGTGAAAAGAAGCAGCAGGTGTGTATTGTATTTCACTTCTAAGTGGACAGAGGCAGCAGGTGTGTATTGTATTTCACTTCTAAGTGGACAGAGGCAGCAGGTGTGTATTGTATTTCACTTCTAAGTGGACAGAGGCAGCAGGTGTGTATTGTATTTCACTTCTAGGTGAGCAGAGGCAGCAGGTGTGTATTGTATTTCACTTCTAGGTGAGCAGAGGCAGCAGGTGTGTATTGTATTTCACTTCTAGGTGAGCAGAGGCAGCAGGTGTGTATTGTATTTCACTTCTAGGTGAGCAGAGGCAGCAGGTGTGTATTGTATTTCACTTCTAGGTGGACAGAGGCAGCAGGTGTGTATTGTATTTCACTTCTAGGTGAGCAGAGGCAGCAGGTGTGTATTGTATTTTACTTCTAGGTGAAAAGAAGCAGCAGGTGTGTATTGTATTTCACTTCTAGGTGAGCAGAGGCAGCAGGTGTGTATTGTATTTCACTTCTAGGTGGACAGAGGCAGCAGGTGTGTATTGTATTTCACTTCTAGGTGAGCAGAGGCAGCAGGTGTGTATTGTATTTTACTTCTAGGTGAAAAGAAGCAGCAGGTGTGTATTGTATTTCACTTCTAGGTGAGCAGAGGCAGCAGGTGTGTATTGTATTTCACTTCTAGGTGAGCAGAGGCAGCAGGTGTGTATTGTATTTCACTTCTAGGTGAGCAGAGGCAGCAGGTGTGTATTGTATTTCACTTCTAGGTGAGCAGAGGCAGCAGGTGTGGTATTGTATTTCACTTCTAGGTGGACAGAGGCAGCAGGTGTGTATTGTTTTCACTTCTAGGTGAGCAGAGGGCAGCAGGTGTGTATTGTATTTCACTCTAGGTGAGCAGAGGCAGCAGGTGTGTATTGTATTTCACTTCTAGGTGAGCAGAGGCAGCAGGTGTGTATTGTATTTCACTTCTAGGTGAACAGAGGCAGCAGGTGTGTATTGTATTTTACTTCTAGGTGAAAAGAAGCAGCAGGTGTGTATTGTATTTCACTTCTAGGTGAGCAGAGGCAGCAGGTGTGTATTGTATTTCACTTCAAGGTGGACAGAGGCAGCAGGTGTGTTAGGTAACTTGCTCAAATGTTCGTTTGGGAGAGGGGAAGCAAGTGCACCATCATTCGACTTTGAGCTGATCATTTTGACAGCCAAGCTGCAGGTCATCTATTTTATGGGGAGGGGGGAGGGGGAGGGGGAGGGAGGAAGGGAAGTGGGAGGAAGGAAGTTGGTTGTTTCGTGAGAGGTGACCTTGTGTCTCCCCATCCCTCTCTCCCATCCTCCCACCCCTGGTACCTACACCTGCTCCCACTTCTGTCAGTTCACCTGTCGCAGGTACACGTCCACTACCACTCTCACTCTCACTCGTGTTCTTCCAGCTAACCGTCCACCACTGCTGCTACCACCACCACTGCTGATACTGCCACCACTGCTGCTACCAGCTGCTTGCTACCCCAGGTGAGTGAATGCAAGGGCAGAAAGATTAGAGACGGCCTCTCACGTATGAACAACAAACTGAAGCACAGTGTTGTAGAGGCCTTGCCAGTGAGAGCATCAGTGTTGCACACACTATAACCTACACCCACCTCGTCTAACACCCAGCTGTGTGTGTCAGTGATCTGAGAGGCGCATCCCTGTAAGTATACGTCACACCTCTGCAACACAATTGTCCTCAAAAATTTCTTAAGTTATACCATGAATTAAGGAAAGATCCTAGACTTTACGAAACAGTCAAAGTAAATGTGATAGTAATTATAGACAATGTAGATTATAGGGTAAAAAATAATGTAATATTAGAAGACAGGGGAATTAACGTGCCCCTTAAAGCCGGCACTGTAGGCACTGTTATCAGGGTCATGCCATGTAAACTCTACGGTCCCTGCGCGCCTACTTTCGTCTGATGTATTTTAGATTTATCGGTATAAATGTAATAATGGTATACAGTACTGACAAGTTGATAGGTAATCACATGTCCAACAGTTAGATGTGTTTATTTCGAAACGCTTCGCCTACCAGTAGGCTTCTTGAGTCGAATGTAGATGAATGGTTCAGAGAACCGACTAGTTGATAAATTAAGCACATGTGTCTAATTTATCAGCTTGTCGGTTCTCTGAACCATTCATCTACATTCCTGTCAGACACAGCAACATCATGGGATCTTAATACAGGGAATTCTTCACTGGCGTAACCTTTAGTCATGACCTACTTCCACATGTGGATTTATCAAATGTAATACCACTTACGACTGCTGTACCTCACCTGCCTGCAGTACATAAGCCACTTCTTCAAACATATGCTGCATACTTTTCAAGGTTGATGGATTGATTACATCGACTCAAGGGGACTGATTACCTCAAACTCCTCCTGTTCTTCACCATTCTCCTTTGTATGGACTGATGAAGTCACTGTGTGGCGAAACGTTTCCTCATTAAAGGTACCCAAGTGTTGCACATGTGTCTAATTTATCTTCTTCAGTCGAATACAGAGAGGCAGCAGAAGCAGTAGAGATGTAAAGATGTAATCAGTCCCATCACCCTCGAACACGTAGTTTTGAGGTGATCAGTCCCTTAGCTCTTAGAGGTTTTGAGTTAGAGCCAGAAAGCGTGTGGAGTGCTTACCTGGGTACCTGAAGGGTGTTCCGGGGGGTCAACGCCCCAGCGGTCCTGTCCATGACCAGGCCTCATGGTGGATCAGGGCCTGATCAACAAAGCTGTTACTGCTGGCCACTTGCAAACAAACGTACGAACCACAGCCCGGCTGGTCAGGTGCTGACTTAAGATGCCTGTCCAGCTCCCCTCTGAAAACAGCCAGGGGTCTTGAAGACAGCCAGGGGTCTTGAAGAAAGCCAGGGGTCTTGAAGACAGCCAGGGGTCTTGAAGACAGCCAGGGGTCTTGGAGACGGCCAGGGGTCTTGAAGACAGCTAGGGGTCTTGAAGACAGCCAGGGGTCTTGAAGACAGCCAGGGGTCCTGAAGACAGCCAGGGGTCTTGAAGACAGCCAGGGGTTCTGAAGACAACCTGGGGCCTTGACAGCCAGGGGTCTTGAAGACAGCCAGGGGTCCTGAAGACAACCTGGGGTCTTGACAGCCAGGGGTCTTGAAGACAGCCAGGGGTCCTGAAGACAACCTGGGGTCTTGACAGCCAGGGGTCTTGAAGACAGCCAGGGGTCCTGAAGACAGCCAGGGGTCCTGAAGACAACCTGGGGTCTTCACAGCCAGGGGTGTTAGGAAATATAAGGGGTACCTCTGTCGGATTACCATATACATTATTACAACATTTATTTATAAATTCCAGTGTCACCTAAATAAAGTAATTTATGTAATCTTTCTCGTACAGAGCCGTGGTTAAGAAGGGTGCGTCAGCACACTACCACGAGTATATCACTTGTAAGAGAGGAACCAGGAACGCCGCTTCGCTATGAAACTCGCGGTAAGTTGTTAGGTGCCTCAGAGGTCACCCACGAACAAGTGGCTGAATAGAGTAGAGATTTATTCTTTTTCAGTTTATATGGGGATGCTACCTGAGACCTGGTGTGGTGTGTCAGGTAGATCTGTGTTGTTGTGTCAGGTAGACCTGTGTTGTTATTGTGTCAGGTAGACCTGTGTTGTTGTTGTGTCAGATAGACCTGTGTTGTTATTGTGTCAGGTAGACCTGTGTTGTTGTTGTGTCAGATAGACCTGTGTTGTTATTGTGTCAGGTAGACCTGTGTTGTTGTTGTGTCAGGTAGACCTGTGTTGTTGTTGCTTCAGGTAGATCTATGTTGTGTGTCAGGTAGACCTGTGTTGTGTGTCAGGTAGACCTGTGTTGTTGTTGTGTCAGGTAGGCCTGTGTTGTTGTTGTGTCAGGTAGACCTGTGTTGTTGTTGTGTCAGGTAGACCTGTGTTGTTGTTGTGTCAGGTAGACCTGTGTTGTTGTTGTGTAGGTAGACTGTGATGTTGTTGTGTCAGATAGACCTGTGTTGTTGTTGTGTCAGGTAGACTGGTGTGTTGTGTCAGGTAGACCTGTGTTGTTGTTGCGTCAGATAGACCTGTGTTGTTATTGTGTCAGGTAGACCTGTGTTGTTGTGTGTCAGGTAGACCTGTGTTGTTGTTGTGTCAGGTAGACCTGTGTTGTTGTTGTGTCAGGTAGACCTGTGTTGTTGTTGTGTCAGGTAGACCTGTGTTGTTGTGTGTCAGGTAGACCTGTGTTGTTGTGTCAGGTAGACTTGTATTGTGTGTCAGGTAGACCTGTGTTGTTGTGTGTCAAGTAGACCTGTGTTGTGTGTCAGGTAGACCTGTGTTGTGTCAGGTAGACCTGTGTTGTTGTGTGTCAGGTAGACCTGTGTTGTTGTGTGTCAGGTAGACCTGTGTTGTTGTTGTGTCAGGTAGTCCTGTGTTATGTGTCAGGTAGACCTGTGTTGTGTCAGGTAGACCTGTGTTGTTGTGTGTCAGGTAGACCTGTGTTGTTGTGTGTCAGGTAGACCTGTGTTGTTGTTGTGTCAGGTAGACCTGTGTTGTGTCAGGTAGACCTGTGTTGTTGTGTGTCAGGTAGACCTGTGTTGTTGTGTGTCAGGTGACCTGTGTTGTTGTGTCAGGTGGGACCTGTGTTTTGTGTGTCAGGTAGACCTGTGTTGTGTGTCAGGTAGACCTGTGTTGTTGTGTGTCGGGTAGACCTGTGTTGTGTCAGGTAGACCTGTGTTGTTGTGTGTCAGGTAGACCTGTGTTGTGTGTCAGGTAGACCTGTGTTGTTGTTGTGTCAGGTAAACCTGTGTTGTGTGTCAGGTAGACCTGTGTTGTTGTGTGTCAGGTAGACCTGTGTTGTTGTGTGTCAGGTAGACCTGTGTTGTTGTGTGTCAGGTAGACCTTGTTCACCTGTATCAAGGTACTCCTCTCCTCTTCACCTGTATCAAGGTACTCCTCTCCTCTTCACCTGTATCAAGGCACTCCTCTCCTCTTCACCTGTATCAAGGCACTCCTCTCCTCTTCACCTGTATCAAGGCACTCCTCTCCTCTTCACCTGTATCAAGGCACTCCTCTCCTCTTCACCTGTATCAAGGCACTCCTCCCCTCTTCACCTGTATCAAGGCACTCCTCCCCTCTTCACCTGTATCAAGGCACTCCTCTCCTCTTCACCTGTATCAAGGCACTCCTCTCCTCTTCACCTGTATCAAGGCACTCCTCCCCTCTTCACCTGTATCAAGGCACTCCTCTCCTCTTCTCCTGTATCAAGGCACTCCTCCCCTCTTCACCTGTATCAAGAAACACTTCCCCTCTTCAATATTCATCAAGAACCCAGAATATAGAATAGATTAATAATGAAGGAGAGAGGCAGTGCATGACAATACTGGGTTTTCCCATGCATGATAAACGTGTATATCAAGTCACACTCTACCATGAACAGTAAAGCTAATTTAGTCCTTTAATAACACTGTTTCACCATCACAGGTGTTAGTGTTGGTGCTGGTGGTGTGTGTTGTGGTGCCTGGCACTGTTGCACAGTATGGCACTGTGCCTCGCTATCTCACCAGACAGCCAGACAGAAGAACCAGGCAGTACCTGAGTGCCAACCTGCCCGTCTACCAGCAGCAGTCCTTCCGTATGACCCGACAGGTCACGGTGACCCGCAGTTCTCTTATTTTCAAGGTAATTTACTATTACGTCTCAAAGTATATCATGTCAACACTGTAGAATACATGGCAGTCATGAACATAATTCCAGAAGTCTTATGAAAACATACTTGCTGTATATAAGTGTGTGAATACTTTATTATGTATTAAAATGTACTCTGTACGCTAAAAATACGATATCTGAGTACAAAGTTTCGTAATATTTGCGTATTTTATGCCATAAATTTGTAACATTTCATATTTTGTAACATATTCACAGGGAAATATAATCTCTGACATTTGTAGGAAGATTACTGAGCAGGTAATTATCACTGATAATGTTTGCGTCTTCCAGGTTAATGTCAGCACCATGGGAGGAGCAGCCAGCTACTGTAACACTCACTACCTCATTACAGCAAGCATTAATTACATTAACTAGTTAGTGTGGGCACACGAGTATCCTGAACCTTTCTCGTTCTAAGCAGAGTTTAGACAAGTCACATACAGGATGCTGGATTGGGCTGGGTCTGCTACGTGATGGTTATTAAAGCGGTTGTAACCTATTTACAATCAGACAAGAATATTCTAATCTCTAAAATAGGGATTAAATTGAATCCTCAGCGTATATATGCAGAGAGAAATATACTTCTCGGTTTATATATCCCTTGATGGAGAGGATAACACTGACCATATATGAATACTGGTTGAAGGAAACAAGGAATTAGCCATTACGATATCTGGTTGTTTCTGATCATTGGGTCTGATGCAGTGCTTCTTCCTTCTGAAGTGGATGTGACTTGGACGTGACTGGCTTGGGCCAGTGGGTGACTAGGACTTGCCTAGCATGGGCCAGTAGGCATGCCGCAGTGTTCCTTATTTCTTATGTTCTAGATCTGTGTCGAGGTGAAGATCATGTTAATAGTGGTTGGCAGAGACGTCAGCTGATCAAGAATTCAACGAAGTGTAAAAAAGTCGGTGGACTATGAGATGTGGGTCAGGTCCCTGGGTCGTTAATGAATGTCCAGGTCCTGGGGAAGAGGGGATGATGTTGCTGTTGTAGAGCCACTGATAGCGTACGCCGTATCGAACCCGGCTGTCCAGTACCCGGAAAAAAACTCGACCAAAGTGGAAGGAAGTTGACTAAGGGAATGGTGTTGATGATGAGATGTTGATTGGTTAAATACCAGCAGTGCTACAATGGTATTTGCTTAGCACACGCCCTCCTGCGTAGACGCCTAACACGCACACACGCCTCTACACACTCCCCAAATACCTTTCCTGAAGCATCTTTCAGGACCTCAGACTCGACCACCTCAACCTGACGGGATCTTCTCACTAATTATTACGTCTGTGTTCCAGCCCAAACATGGAACAGTCCCTTAACACCTACTGCCACTCTTTACCTAGCAGTAAAAACAGGTACTACTTAGCAGTAAAAGCAGGTACTACTTGTAGTAACAGCAGGTACTACTTAGGTGCTGGTTAACTTTTGAGAGTCGCATCCTGGTGAAAAATTTGTAATGTAAATATGTGAAAAATTATATAATCAGTGGAAAATGCCATTGTGCAAAGCTCCAGACATTCTGGAGTCCCTAATGGGCGAAACGTCTTCACAATAAAATTGCATAACCCTCACTGTGTCTTATTTACTTGTGGTAATAAGGTTATTGAAGCTAAACATTAGGTAGGTATAAGAATAAGTTGAAGTATTTGAGAGAGGTGGAACTGTGGATGTGAGAAATATGCTCTATATATGAGCCAGCAGACAAATCACATATATATGAGTTAGATATCTTTATTCCGATATCTAACTGTCGCATATGTGTCTTACTTATCCACTTGTCGTTAATTTATGGCATTATGATATTGATAGACCAGTAGGCCTATGACAGTGGTCCTATCTTCTTGTCAGGTGTTGGGTAAAAGTCTGCCGTCCAATAAGGTGTATCAAAGGAAAGTAGAGAAAAGTGTACTGGTGTACAAAGAAGGTTGCAGCGCCGCTCTAGGTACAACGATCCAGAAGTCAATGCAACAGATCATTAGAGAACACTAGCACACAAACACACTCAGATGTTGCAATAACATCACAATACCCTTCCCCATTAGCAGTCGAGCCTCTATATAAACATTGCTAAACCATTGCACCAGGAATACAAATCACTCTGCTGTCAGACAGTCGGAGAATACACGAATACATACACAAATATATACAAAATATTTGTAGCGATCATTTCACAATAATCTTGACCGTGAGGAAAATACACAGCACAACACATCAGGATTATAACATTGACATTATCTTTCCTGGAACGACTCACTGCACTCCCATATTCACTGGGAAGTGAATGTGGTACTTGAAGAGCAGCTGACGGAGTTTTCTCAGTGAATGCCAATATTCAATACACTAAACCTACTCACCATACAAAACATCCATACTTATTACTGCACCTATTACATACATAGAACACTTAACTCTGATATTAACCCTCCCCTCAAACATCTCCTTGCCAACCTCAACAGAACACATGACCATAACACAAGGCACAGATCACTCTTTGATGTTCCTCGTGTCCATCTCACACTATGCAAAAACTCAATGCACATAAGATAAGATAAAATAAGATAAGATAAGATTTCGTTCGGATTTTTAACCCCGGAGGGTTAGCCACCCAGGATAACCCAAGAAAGTCAGTGCGTCATCGAGGACTGTCTAACTTATTTCCATTGGGGTCCTTAATCTTGTCCCCCAGGATACGACCCACACCAGTCGACTAACACCCAGGTACCTATTTGCTGCTAGGTGAACAGGACAATAGGTGTAAGGAAACGTGACGGAATTTCCACCCGCCGGGAATCGAACCCGGGCCCTCCGTGTGTGAAGCGGGAGCTTTAGCCACCGGGCCCTAAAATCTGGAATTCATTACCTGTAAATATAAAAGAAACACTACCTGTTTATAAATTCAAGTCTCTTCTCAAAGATCACTTACTCACTCAAAACCAAATAAATACTGAATAACTGAGCCTTATAAATTGTATATCTTAAATGTTTCTCACAATTATATCACATAAATGTTAAACCTAAAACCCAATCTAACTTTATTATTTTTTAAATACACTACCTAACAGAATACTTCATACGACTGAATGTACAACAATGCATGCAACCATATGACCTGTCTTTGTAATACTCACTTGTGCTTTATTGTTATCTGTTTACAATAATGTTTTATCACTGATTTCATCATTGCTTAGTTAATTTTAAGCCAGCCCGTAATGCTATGCATAGTATAAGTGGCTTTGGCATGCTGCTCTTATCTGTATTTTTTGTACCTCTGTATGTATGCTCAAATTGTTAATAAATAAATAAATAAATAAATAAATAAATAAATGCCATAAACTGCACATTGTGTCACTCACATAATTGTAGAAATATTTCATTATTTCACTAGTCAGTAATGTTTGCTGAAAGGGAACACTCCATGACCCCATGGTCATGTCCCCATGAGCCCAGGCAGAGGTCTCCAAGAACCGAGAGGTCCTCTTGAGCCTAGGGAGAGGTCCCCAAGGCCATAGGGGGAGGTTCCCAAGATCCCCTGAACGTCTTCTCACCTACTGAGTTGAAGGATTCTCCATTTTTTTTTCCAACAAGTCGGCCGTCTCCCACCGAGGCAGGGTGACCCAAAAAGAAAGAAAATCCCCAAAAAACAAAATACTTTCATCATCATTCAACACTTTCACCTCCCCCACACATAATCACGTCTTTGAAAGGGGTCCAGAACAACACCTTTAAAGGAAATATAAAAATCCCTAAAAAGTGACCTGAAATAATTTAAAAAACTCCATATAGAATATAAACAGGGCCACAATTAATATATACCGCCCTATTACACATCCCCCAAATCCCAATATCCCAAACCCGCCCTTTTAAAAGTGCAGGCTTTGATTTTCCCATTTCCGGGACTAAAGTCCGGCTATCAAATAACCGGGAGGGGGAAAGAGCTAAATCCGGAAAATTTATGGGAATGGGGGGCATCCACGTTCCTCTAGGAAGGGGGAAAGTGGGGTTCCTTGGTCAATCCCCAATCCCCCCCTAGCAACAAGGGCACAGTGCGGGGGTAAGTGGGTTGTGCGATTTTCTCAACACTATCAGTGACTCGGGTATAAAAATAGTCTTGTATTGACTTACAGTATACTTTTCCAGACATTTGCTAAATTACTGAGGTACTGACAAGCCTTGCTGACTCTTACTTCCCCTCACTGATCTCACTGACCTCTTGATTTTCGCTGACCCTTGACCCCCCCTGACTCTCACTGACTTTCACGACTATCAGTACCCCACTGACTCTCACTGACTTTCACTACTTTCATGACTCTCACTGACTCCACGATTTTCACGCCCCTAAACTGCCCTTCAATGACTTTCACTGACTTTCCTGCTCTCACTGACTCTCACTGATTTTCACTGATTTTCACTGCCCACAGACTCTCACTGACTTTCATGACCTTTCACGACTACAGTGACCCCACGATTTTCACTGACTTTCACGACCCCCCGACTCTCACTGATTTTCACTGACTTTCACTGACCCCTGACTTTCACTGACTCTCACTGATCTTACTGCCCAAAGGCTCTCACGATCCAAACTTTCACAGACTTACAGATACTCACCCATAAAGGACGCTCCTTATAGGGCACAGGGTCTTGATTGTAACTAAAGCAACCCATTTCAAAAAATCAAACCTCTTTACCTCCCCCCCCCAGGAAAACCCCAAAATCCCTCCCTAGGTTTTCCGCATCCCGGGTTACCCAGGATACACCAGACAAACTGTCATACAGTTTACCAATACATCAGTGAATAACTGCGTAACCCTCTCAGTATAAATGTTATCTATACACTTATAAATACTTTTCACGCTTTAAAAACCTCGTGTATAGATAGACTTTTAAATTGATACACCCGCCCTATTTGAAGATCGGCCAGGCTCAGTAACCTGGCGTAGGTTACTGGTGTGTAACCGGTATACACAACCTGAACCAAATACACTATACCTGACGTAACCACGACCTAACCAGATACTTAACCTGACGTTACACACAACCAGAACCAGTTACACATACCCGACGTAACACACAGACCTGAACCCGAAACCCATTAACCCCACGTATACACACAGACCTGAACCAGACTACATTTTACCTGCGTAACACACAGACCGAACCAGTTACATTTACCTGACGAAACACACAGACCGAACAATAATTTTACCTGACTATACACACAACCTAACCGTCAACATTTTACCTGATATACACACAGACCCGAACCATTAAAAATTTTTAACCCGACGTTACACACAGACCCGAAACCCGTCTCATTATACCTGACTATACACACAGACCTGAAACCCAAAACATTATACCTGACGTAAACACACAGACCAGAACCAGTCTACCTATCCCGACGTATACACACGACCTGAAAACCCGACTACATATACCGACGTATCACACAACCTGAACATCTACATTATACCTGACGTATACACACAGACCTGAACCAGACTACATTTTACCCTACGAACACACAGACCGAACCCTCTACATTATACCTACTATACACACAGACCTAACCAGACACATTTTACCCGACTTACCACAGACCGAACCAGTCTACATTATACCCACTAAACAACGACCTGAACCAGACACATTTTACTGACGTATAAACCCCAGACCAGAAAACCCGTCTACACTACCCGACGTAAACAACAGACCGAACCAGACTACATTAAACCTGACGATAACACAACCTGAACCAGACTACATTTTACCTGACGTATACACACGACCGAACCAGACTACATATACCTGAGTTACACACAGACCGAACCGTCTACTTATACCTACATACACACAACCTGAACCAGATACATTATACCTACGATAAAAACACAGACCTGAACCATCTACATTATACCTGACGTTAAACAGACCTAACCAGACACATTTTAAAATGACGTATACACCCCAGACCCGAACCATTCCCTTTACCTGAAGTAAAAAACACAGACCTGAACCAAAACATTATACCCCGACGTATACAACGACCTGAACCAGGTACACTAACCGACGATACACACAGACTGAAACCCTCTCATATACCTGACGTATACACACAGATCTGAACCAGTCTACACTATACCTGACGTAACACACAGACCTAACCATCTACATTATACCGACGTATCACACAGCCTGAACCAATACCTATACCTGACGATACACACAGACTGAACCATTAATTATACCTGAGTAACACAGACCCAACCAGGCTCACTTTAAAACCAACGTACACCAGACCGAACCAGGCTACACTATACCTGACGACACACAACCCGAACCAACACACTATACCAGACGTACACCAGACCTAAACCGGCTAAAAACTAACCCGACGTATACCAGACCTGAACCATCTACACTAACATGACGTACCACAGCCCGAACCCTCACACTACATGAGTACACACAGACCTGAACCAACTACACTATACATAGTACACACAAACGTGAACCAGCCTACACTATACCCGCGTACACACGAAAAATGAACCCAAATACACTTACCTGACGTACACACAGACCTAACCCCGCTACACGTCCAAAACGTACACAACCTGAACCAGCTACACTGTTTCCCCTAACGTACACAGACCTGAACCAGGGTAAACCCATACTGCGTACACACAGACCTGAACCAGGCTACACTATACATGCGACACACAGACCTGAACCAGTCTACACGTCCATAACGTACACAGACCTGAAAGGTACACTATACCGACGTCACACGACCCCGAACCAGGTACATGTCCCAACGTCACAGACCTGAACCCTCTACCTGTCCATAAAGTACAAACCTAACCAGGCTACACTATACAGACGTACACACAGCCTGAACCCCGGCTACATAACATGACGTACAACAACCTGAAACCAGCTACACATACAGACGTACCACAACCTGCCAGGCTACATATACCTACGACACCAGAACGAACCAAACACATTTTACCGGACGACACACAGACCTGAAACCGTCTAAAACTACACCCGACGTTTCACACAACCGAAACCAACCATTAACCCTCGTACACACAGACCCGAACCCAACTACATTATACCTGACTAAAACCCCAACCCGAACCAGTTAAAACTACAACCCCGTCACCCAGACCCGAAACCCGGCACAATACATGCGTACAACGACCTGAACAGTCTACACTTACCTAGTACACACGACCCAACCAGGACACTATACCCGAGTACACACAGACCTGAACCCGATCACATACCGACAAACTTTAGCGATTACTCCGGGGTTTAAAAAGCTACAAGCTTTCTGTCTCGTTTCACAGTCAAATTTGCATTTGATTGGACGGGAACAACTTCAGTCTGACAACTTGATTTCGGTTTTCCCCGATAAATGTTTCACACCCCTGGTGTTTCTTTTGGGGTGTTGCGCCCGCGTGGGGCTAGGCTGTTTTTTCTTGTGGGGGTTTGAGCCATGTGGGGTCAGGCTGTGTGTTTCTTGTGGAGGTTGCAGCAGTGTGGGATCTAGGTGTGTGTTTCTTGTGAGTGTTTTTGGGCCCGGGGGATTAGGGTGTGTGTTTTTGTGGAGTGTTGCAGCCTGTGGGTTTTTATTTGGGGTGCTTTTGTGGAGTGTTGCAGCCCGTGTGGGCTAGGCTTGTTTTCTTGTGGGGGTTGCACCATGTGGGGTCTAGGCTGTGTTTTCTTGTGGAGGTTGGCCAGGTGGGGGCCCCGGGGTTGTTGTTTTTTGGTAGTGTTGCGCCAGTTTTGGGAGCTAGGGGTGTGTTTACTGTGGGGTGTTGCAGCCAGTGTGGGGGTCCAGGCTGTGTGTTACTGGTGGAGTTGTTTCAGCCAGTGTGGGGTCCAACTGTGTTACTGGTGGAGTGTTGCACCAGTGTTGGGGTCCAGACTGGTGTGTTATGGGATTTGGGCACCAGTGGGGGTCCAGACTGTTGTTACGGGTAGAGTGTTTGCAGCCATGTGGGGTCCAGGTAGTGTTCGGGTGGAGTGTCAGCCAGTGTGGGGTCCAGGGTAAGTGTTACTGTGGAGTTTTTGCAGCCAGTGGGGGTCCGGAAATGTGTTACTGGGGAGTGTTGCAGCCAGGTGGGGTCCAGGGAATGGAAAACTGGGGGAGTGCTGCAGCCAGTTGGGGGTCCAGGTATGTGTTACAGTGGAG